AAATGGTGGGGACTGATCCAGGGGCTGCCCCAAAATGGAGGGGACTGACCCTGGGCCTTGAGAGCCCCAAAATGGTGGGGACTGATCCAGGGGCTGCCCCAAAATGGAGGGGACTGACCCTGGGCCTTGAGAGCCCCAAAATGGTGGGGACTGATCCAGGGGCTGCCCCAAAATGGAGGGGACTGACCCTGGGCCTTGAGAACCCCAAAATGGCGGGGACTGATCCAGGGGCTGCCCCAAAATGGAGGGGACTGACCCCAGGCCTTGAGAGCCCCAAAATGGAGGGGACTGACCCAGGGCCTAAAGAGCCCCAAAATGGCGGGGACTGACCCAGGGGCTGCCCCAAAATGGTGGGGACTGACCCAGGGGCTGCCCCAAAATGGCGGGGACCGACCCAGAGCCTCGAGAGCCCCAAAATGGCGGGGACTGACCCAGGGGCTGCCCCAAAATGGAGGGAACTGACTCTTTGGGCCCCACAGGGAACAAGGAAGCACAGCCAAGCCTGAGGGGGGCCAAACCAAGGAGAGAGGAGAAAAGGACGGTGACACAGGTGTCGAGCGGCTGCTCCGCTCCATTTCCATCTCAGAACAATTACTTTTGCACATTTCACATAACGACATGTCACCTGTTCCAGGCCAGATCCCAACATAACCCTGCAACTGTGAGGCCATGTAATCCCAACGTCCCATTCAGAGAGCACTACGGGATGGTTAAAAAAGCCAAATAAAGGGACAGCAGAGTTAATAAGGAAATTCAGACATTGCCGGTAACAATAGTTGAGAGACATAAACAGGATTTTTGCATTTAGTTGGTATTTTGTGGGTTTGCATTAAAAGGACATCACTAATTAAAAGATATCATCATGCATGCTATTAAAACTTAGACCATTGTAAACTCCTGTTAGAAGATTTCCAATTAAAAAACACCATAAAGTTAAACCACACTGTTATGATTTACAACTTAATTCTCCATTTTCTGATGAGAGGAGTTTCCTTCTGAATCCTAAATGAGAAAGGGCTGTGGAAATTAAGATATTAAGTACACGGATGAAAGAGTCTCCTAGAAGTGAAACTCGCCTCAGAGAGACTCAAAGCAACTGTAACCTTGCTTTTATGTCAACCTGGAGAATGAAAAAGAATAAAGAAGAAAGAAATTTGGAGTAACACATTAAATAGTTTTTGCAAAGGAGACCTGCTAACCTTAGGCAAGTCAGCTGTTCCTGCAACACAAACGTGACAGCTTTTGCTCGTGCCTGGAATGGGGCAGAATCCTGCTCTGACAGACATCTCCTCACCCCGTCTGTCTGTAGCTTCCCAGAAATGGACAGGTAATAGGCACAATCACATCAAAGAGAAAGTAATCATGCTTTACAAAACTGGTTTGTAAAATTTAAGAAAAGGGCACAGAGGACCTGGAAGAAATGGAGATGCAGAGCTGGGGACAAGTGGGCTGACGTGGGCCTGAGAAGACAGGGTGGGGATGTCTTCCTGCCTCACCATGAGGCACACTTCCCAAACACAGTCTTGGCTGGGCCATCCACAAACCAACCAACCAACCAACCCAACTCTCATTGTAGAGATACTTGCTGTGTTATTTAATGGACAGGTTTTCTTCACCTAATGAAATGCACTGTCCTGGGTTTGTTTCCACGTGCCTGCACACAGACCTGTTTATTCCCAAGGGAACAAAATAATTCCTTAATTACCTTACTGTCAGTCTCATGAAATGTCAGCTGTTATCTACACAAATTTCCTTGCTGCCACTCCAACGCGCTCTCTAGATGAAGCTCCTCCCTGCAATAATACTCTCCCCTGTGAGCTAAATCTGCAGGGCTACACTGGGCATCCCTCGCCCAGCTACTCCAACTTGCACACAGAGAAACTCCTATTTACACAACAAACAACATCTGCCCCTAGTGCTGGCACAGGGAAAATAAAGACTGGCTTTCAAAGGGGAAGACTGATGAAAACAAAAGCATAGCAGGAAAGGATTTGAAAAAATACCAGAGGGATTTTCATCGTCTCTCACAAATACGTAACATAATACAAAATTGCTGTCTCCTGGGCAATTCTAACTAAGATACAGGAGAGTCTCCAGAAAACCAACACCACATTACAGGCAACGCTCTCAAAATGTGCACAGAAAGGAAGTTCTCCTCAGCCAAGGATCACAGTCCTCACAGTTAAGTTGCTCCAGCTCACAAACTGCAAGAGAACAAAGATATTTCTGACTCTTTGTATCCCAATGTTGATCAAAAGCCACACATCATGTTGTTTACTGAAAAAACCCCAAAACTCACATAACAAGCTCAACTCTGAAGGAAGCAGATCAGCCACTTTTTGCTACACCCTCCAGACACAAAGATTTCCACTCCTGGGCTCTCAGCACTCCATCTTTTGCAGGAGTTCTCACTGCTGGAATGAACATTTGTTACATTACCTGTTTACTCTGATCTGCTCTTAGTGGTAGAGATGTTTGTTCAAAGGCAAAAATCCACGATGCAGCAGATCCTTACTTGGGGTCCAAGAGCTGGCTCCTTAGCTGTGTTGTACTTCCACCTTGTGGCAAATGTATGTCAGCACGTGGCTGGTTTCAGGCAGCCCTCCGGGTGTACCAAGTGCAAACATCCCTCACCATGAGCGCTGCTCTTTATTGCAAATACAAAAAAAGCACTTCTTCCTCTACAACTTTAGCATCTGCCCAAATTTTCCTCTTTCATAGATGTAAAATGCTTTTAGTTTAGTCCAGGGGATTTTTTTACAACTTTCATCACTGTAAAACTACCACTTGGCCAGCTACTCCAAAGTGATATTTCAGTGAGATCATTGTACAAATTAGGAGAAGGGAAATTAAAAACCCAAGATTTCAGTCCAGGCTTTTAGGACCTCTGCACAAAGCTCACCTGGAACATTAGGGACAGCATAGAAAACAGGAATAAATGTTGAAGGCAAAACCTGCAATCACTGTGAGAAAGGCTGTAGCATCATCTCCTGCATAGCATAACTCAGCATCATCTAGGGGATGAACATATGGAGCTCAAGGCAAAATACTGGAACATGTCGAAAAATAAAGATAATTCAACTGGATAAATTATGCATGGAGGGAAATACCTTGAAATACCTTGAAATACCACTCTGACTGATCATTAAAAAAAGGCAAGTTTGACATAGATGATTCTCATGATTTGTTTTTTTTGTTTAAAATTAACAGCAGGTAGAACAAAATAAATACCATCTCACCTAATCCTTTACTATGCATGTCCTCTCTCAACAGCTTCTCATGTCCACAAGATGTATATGTAGCCCAAAGGTGTCCCACTCTTTCCTCTCACAAAAACTGTAGAAGAGGAGCAGTACAAAAGGTGTCACCTACCTGGCAGAGGAAGCTGAACTAACAAACCACTAACTCTTGAATCCTTGTTGAGCTTCACTATCATATCTAGGAGCTCTTCCTGAGAAATGTCTTTAGGCCTCAGAATGATCTCACTAGAAATGCCTGATAAAAACAAAAAACAGAAGACACGTTAGCATCAGAAAATTAATCTATGGGCAGCTTGGTTATTTGGTCTAAAAATCTGTCTGAGGCTTAAAAACTGTTTCCTAACAATATTTCAAGATACAGAATTAAACTTATGGCTCCTACTCAAGAGATATTAAAACTACTTTCTCCCTATGTCCATGCAATTTCTTTTCTTTAGATTCAGCAGAGAAGATGACAAAGAAAATGGTGCAAGACTGAATTAAGACAAAACAGGGGATTCCTC